AAATGCGTGCACTCATTGAAGGACCTCAACAGCTGCGAGAAGTCATATGCGGCGTTTAAAGTCAACTCACAAGCGGCTATGATTAACCAAAATTCTACGGTACTTATGACAATGAGATAAAACACATATACGTTGTTCCATGAAAAATCGGTGCCTTTCCAAATCAAGAGCAACAGAAACGTCTTTGTGGTATTATCGCCTACAATGGCGTTGATGTAGAGGAAAACCTGTTTGCCATAAATACTATTGCTTCTCTCGGATAGCCGCTGTAAACGCATATAGACAACAACGATTTCTTCGATTTCACGCATTAAGTTATCGACGTTCACCCGTTGTAAGCCACAACTGGACAAATATATCAAACGCTGTTGCAGTGTCCAAATGTTGCGATAAATGTTCAATACAACCGTGTAAAATTGCAACACGGCCACCAAAAGCACATTAACTGGAATAACTATGATGAAAAATGAGATCAGCATATATATGCTGATTCTCGTGAATTTATCGCGTATTATATAAAAAAATACTATATTATTCAAGAGCATAACAAACGTCCACCATGCCAGGTAATTGTGAAATGTCGCACAATTGTCGCATAAAATGTTATGCTTTGCGAAATATGACTGCTCCATGGTCGCAAACTCATTGAACATGTCCAGCACAGAGTCGTACTCCTTCCAGTTGGTCCACAGTATTGCAAAGTGGCTATACAAATGCGCCAAATTAACTAGTTGACTAAGTGCCATCATTAGCGACCACTCGGCTATATTATCCCAGTACACACGCACTTCTCTGTAACATTTGTACAGAATCAGCGCAATTAGAACCACATCTATAAGGATACTGTAGATGAGGCAATAATTTTTTGCCACAATCCGTTTGCGTCGCGCGTTATAACCATAAGGTAGTACACCTAAAATAATTGATAAACGAACTGTCGCGTTTATAATATAACGGGAAAGACCGACACGAAACCGTGACCACATGATCTGTCTAAATGACACACAAAAATATTTTTGTTAGAGCAACAACATTACTTTTCAATTATTTGCATTTTTTTCACTTTTTTTGCAGCGTTTGTTGACAGTATTTATTATTTGAGATGAAGCATAACACATATCGATAATAGTAGTAGACAGCTTTGACATATGACAAGTGAAAAGTCGTAATTAACTATATTGACCAGAGAGCAGCTGAAGCGCTAAATACATATGTTTGTGTCTGGTAGGCTGACAGGTAAAGGGGGTATCTTTTATTTATACATACTTATGTCTCTGCCTACCACTCACATGACGATAATTTTTGCCAAACCCATACGATGTGAAATTGTACTGTTATATCAACAATAAAATGCATGTTTAGATGATGTACAGGGTGCACCATCTGTTATGTCAACTTGAAAACTACAATTCAGTACAGTTTTGCACATGAATTCACACGCTTAGAATATGGCTAAACACAACGGGGGTTTTTAGACGTGTGATTTTTAATAAAGCAATAATTTTTTCGGGGTTGATCTTTTTGACCGCTGTTAGTTGATTCATAATCAGTTTGATTTGCCATTTCATAATAAACAGACTTACTTCGAAACAACAAAACGAAATGACTACAAAAAGTGTTCGGAAATTGTGCCTCTCGACTAATGGTAAACCTATATCTTCATAATAAAACTAAATTTCGGGCCATAAGATAAAATTATAAGCGTTTTATTTCTTCCTGAAAACTTTTTCATGTTTTTACTCCAAATAATAATATACGAAATCAGAAGTACTTGTATGAGAAGTTAAATACAATATTCGCTCTGATACAAGCCACTTTTAATCTTAGTTAGTAAAGGAGTCGAAAATGCCCCTTCAACACTTCCTGTCCAAAAGTAAGATACTGCGTTTATAATTTTGTTTGTAACGAAAGAATACTTTCAGAATACTTTTATTCATTCCGATCATAATGAAAGACTACATAGTGTGTTTGCACCAAATAAATTATATGCAAAACGATTGTGAGCAAAATGCTTAA